CTGATAGCAGAGAGCAATGGCTTAATGTGCAGATTAACTAGCCATTCCATGAGGCTAAGTTTTAGCCATATACTAAATTAGATCAACACAATGCAACATTTGTCCCCCATAGTAATTCAGCTTCTTACGGAACTCCTTCACACACTCAAGATTTATGCCCTTGGCTTTTACAGAGAGCGGATATAAGAAACACCCATTTAAACAATCACTTAGGGCCTTCGTAAAAGAATAGTCAAAAGCACTGCCCATTATGCGTGTTATCCAATGTCCCTGAAATGAAAAAGCACATGATAAATCCGGTAACAATAAAGCCTGTCTTTCTCAAAGAGTTCATGTCTTCTTTCTTCAGAGAATGGTATAATCACATCTCTTTTTGTCTCAACTCTTCAAAACTTCAGAGGCAAATTCAGTACCTAATTTATCCCAACCACCTTGCAATACCTATCTTAGAATTTTTTTTACCCCTTTTGATCTTGATTTTATTTTTACGTCTCCTGCTTTGTGTTTCATTTTGCAAGCAAACTTAAACCTTTTTCCCTCTCAAAGTAGGACATACATTCTAAGTAAAAAAGCCTTTTTTTTCACCTTTGAAAAGAATGATCATGATCTTCCCCTTGCTACAATCACTCCTTGATTTGCAGGCCTGCTCACAATCCTGCCCTTACGTCTTCCCAGTTAACACAAGTAGACTCCATGTGTCGTCAGCCATCTATGCACCTCACCACACTGAGGTCAAGCCAAGGAAGAAAACGCCTGTCCTGTTCCTTAGACTCTGCTTTAGCATCTGAGGAGGCAAGCTGATTCTCAAGGCCTAATGTTTCCACATAGAGAAAAATGCTGAGAACAGGACCATACTTCTCTCCAAATCATTCTAAAGATTTCTTTTGAAATAAAGTATTAAGCATTATGGGTGAATCCATTTTCTAAGGATGGCTGCAGCATTTCCCATCCCCCATGCCTCTCTATCCCAAGTGCTGCCATTAAGGGGGTCTTTGGCTACACCACAAGCAAGGGGGTCTCTTCCATCCTTTAGAACTGGAGTGGTCTCAAGTGGCTCTGATTAGTAGAAGAGAGTAGAAAGGACAAAGTACTGGTTATTGCTTTTAACTGGTCCAGCAACTTCTACTTCCTGCCTCTTGGAAGGCAGCCACCATATAAGAATGAGACAATCCTGAAACACTGCTCGGAAAGAAGCTCAAATGCAGATGTCTAAAAGAAAGGCATCTAGAAGGGGATCCCTAGTCATAGATGTTCCAGCTGTCACTATGTGCATTAGAGATGAACCCAACTGAGTCCTTCTTCAATCTCTCATCCTTAAAATTACAAGCAAAATACAAAATAGTAGTTTTCAGGTAGGGTTAGGAGATAGCACCTGACTGGATTAACTATTTGGAACACATAAAGCTCAGCCCAGTGCCTGGCACTCAGTAAGCTCTCAATAAATTATAATTATTTATAATATAAATGATCTGACATACGACAAAACTAAATTTTGTGTTATATAGGGATCCAGCTTTCTTAAGAATGCTTCTGTGGGCCAGGGATACAACTCAGTGGCACAGCGCCTATGGGCAAGCACAGGGTCCCGAGTTCAATTTCCAGTACCTCCCCCCTAAAAAAAGAATGCTCCTGTGACATTTTGGAATCATAAAACCCAAGATGAGCTTATACTTGGCAAGCTTCCTAAACCCAAAATACGTAAATTTTGTGGTAAAAAAGAGGGAAAAAAAGTACTCTAAAGGATACAACTGCAAGTATGTTTAGGTGTGTTAAGATAGATGACTATATTAATGTTTTTGGTTGGATCATTGAACACAACTGTTTGCAGTCTCATTGTTTGAATGTCCACTTTGTATGCTTTGATCCTGTGACTTGAGCAACTATCTCTAAGATGATAATGTATAATCTATTAGCTAGTAATTTCTTACTTTTTTTTTTGTAGTTCTGTATTACTTGTACTCTTACACTGTTTTGTTTTTTCTCTTTTTCCTTTTAAATAAAATTTAAAAAAAAAAAAAAGCTTCCTGTATCTATGCTTCATCTTGTTTTCTTTCTAGTCACTTCTGGTACCTCATGAAGACCTCAGTTGAGGCATTACATATGCTCACTGGTGCATGTTCCGCTTCTAGAGACAACTGTTTATGGTCAGGACAGGCACCTCAGCCTCTGAGTAGAGACCACAGTGTGGAGGTCCTGACTAAGTGTCCGCTGCTGAACTTATGCCTAATCTGTCTCCTGACAACTGTCCAAGCAGCTGTAGGGTGTGAGTCACTGGCACAGGGGAGAGGGAGCAGATTTGAAGGGCTGAAAGAGGAAGAATGCAGTTGTTTTCATAACACTTGCCTGGTAGTTTGCTCATGCGCAAGTTTCTCTGAATATTCTACAACTTGAACATTAATGTTTGCAATCCTGGTCTTCCTATGCAAATATTTTGACAATATCATGGTCCTGGTATACTTACCCACTCAACCAATATTTATCGAGTACCTAGTCTATGCAATGCTTTGGGAGGTTGTGTGTACATTGCTTTCTCCAGTCAGGGAAAAGCACACTGATGACTTTGATGACAGTGGTGTTGGCACTCCACAAGAAAAGAATGACAAGATCCTAACTATAATAACAGAGCCTTTTCCACAACTTAGTCTCTTTATTTCTTCTCATTCTCTGGAGAACACAGCCACCAACAAATCCCTTCCAGTTAAAAGAACCCACTCCCTCCCAGAGCTCCCCTCCTGATGTCTGACAGTCCCTGAACCTCCCCCGAGGCATGCCGGGATCAATACATGACTACTTCAAAGAAGTCTTCAAATTGGAGTGCAAGCAGCACTTTCAAAACTAAAAAATAAAAAATCCTCGAGCTGGGATTCAGAAGTTAGAGGAGGAGGGAGGAGCAGGGAGAGCCAGCGTTGGGATTTGACAGTGCCACACAATGCACTGAGGATCAGAGCTGTGAGACAAATTCAGCTCCAGAGATGAAAAATCTTTCGGTGCTGACAACATCTGTTTTATTTTGAAGGTTGCTAAGGAGAGTTCTAGCTGGGCCAACATTGTTCCAGTTCAGTACTTCATAGTGAGTCTCTTGCACAAGGTTCAGACAGCGGGAATAAAAGCTCACCAGACAAACCTTGCTGCTTTTACTTTGCAGATATCAAAAGATCACTTTGCTAACAGGGACGACCAACACCCCACCTAGTCTCAACCGCAATTGGACTGTCCCTTCTGCTTTTGTGGCTCACTCTCTTTATTACTCTTCTCCCTGTCCTCTCTGTCCCCACTTGCCAAATCCCCATCTACGCCAAATAAAGGTTTATTAGGGACAAACAGACAGTGACTATACCAGTAACCAGACAGAATGTTTTCATGCAGGAACAAGGAAGAGCTAAGCAGAAGCTGCATGTCATGACAGGAAGAAGCATAGCATCAAAGAAAGAAATCATTTCCTGGCCTTTACTGATCTGTTTTGCCACCTAATCATCAAAACAACACCAAACGCTTTATGAGGGCCCTAAGCACTCATGGACTAGTAGGGAGTTGGTGCTCAAGACAAGGAAAAGCCTAAATAGCCAATTGCACCTTTATGGTAACATAGTAAGAAGTGAGGCTCTCATACCCCACTACACTACATCCCCCACTGCCTTCTTAGATTTACTTATGTTTACAAGCCACTAACCAAAAATTGGAAAACCTAGTGTACATTTTTCCTAGTAGGCAAACATATAGAAAAAAAAATAGATAAAGAAAACAAGAGCTCCTGCCAATGGCCTTTACATATGTGACAGGAGGTCCTACCAATGAGCTTCATATAGATGCAGAGCTGCTCTGAAATGAGTGAGCCTGCTTCTCACTGCTGGTGTTGTGCCTGGTTGGGACAGTGCCCAGGAAGAGATCAGGGAAACAAGAAGGCCTCTACATATAACTGGCAACTGCAAGTAAAATCCTTTTGGGATTTTACGGCATTAGGTTTAAAAAAAAATCCGCCTTACGAGGCTGAAGGAATTCTCTTTCTGCCTTGGGCTTTGAAAAGCACCAGCTCCTGCGAGGAAGCACCTAGGAGTCTAGGGAAAGGAGACTGAAAAGGACAGTGTTCTCTAACAAAGGATCATTTCAAAAAGCCATTAAGCAGGGATTGGACCCTGCAACTGTCCACAAAAAAAGGAAACTTATAGCCTCTCACATGTGGCTATGAAGACACCTGAGGCTACGTTGTCTAAATATTACCTTTGCCTACAAGAGTCTAGCTTATCTTAGTAAGTGCCCCCGGCGAGGGCCAGTAGGAGAACCAGCGCTCCCGAGACCGGCCATGGTGGGACTCAGTCAGCTTATTCTTCCGCCCTCTTGGTAAGAGGCCCTGGCGTGGGCCTAGAGGAGAATCCTGTGAGCCTACCTGCATGCAGGCTGAAAATCAAACTCCCTTCCCCGCTCCCACTGGGCCCCCTTCCCCCCACCCCTCACCCCATAGCTACTGGGGATAGATGTCTCTGCATCTCTTGGGAGGACAACCACACGCAATATAGCAAATATGGGAGATTTCCTTCTATCTTCTGTTTGAAGGCAAAGGTTGTTTTCACTGTTTTGCTTTGTTATGTTTCTTTTGCTCTATTCAGTACTGTCAACTGGTTTTATAATGTTCTGTTTTTGGTTCGATTTCACTATACCTAATTGACTGGACAACTATTGTGAAGTTAACAAGATATACCATAGTACCTATTACTACCATCCCAGTATCCTACTGTGAAATTCTGTACCAATTTCACTGCACTGTCTCGATTGGCTTTGTTCTGTCTTGTGCTGTTGCTTTTTATTACTTTCAAAATAAAATTTTTTTAAAAAATTCTAGTTTAGCATCTCACCTCCAGCTTGGGATCTACCTGAGCTAAAGCACACTTGTCCTGATACAAAGAATGTCTAAACAATGCAGAACACAAAACACCCAGACTGCTGCAGATAGCTCCAGGAGGGATTAAGTGGGAAGGCTGACAGCCACTTTGCAAACCACTCACCTAGCCACGTCACACCCACACTGGCTGGGGAAGACATGGCCTCAGCCACTTTGTGCCAGCTCCGGTTGTATCCTGGTGTCCAGAGTGCCACATGGCAGAAATAGTAGCCAGCATTTTCCTTGCTAACATCTCGAACCAGTAAGTGGTACGAGCGTGCATCCACATGACTCAGAGCAATGTGAGGTGAGCTGTGTACCAGGGAGTCACGGTCCAGTCGTGCCAATACATGGCGGGCAGGCAAGGTGCTGTCAGGCATCCTGCTGAAGTACCACGTCAGCTCGGGCCGGATGTCATCCACACGGTCTGTGGTGATGTTGCAGGACAGGTCGAGCTCCTTTCCTTCAGCCACAGACACGTTTGTAGTCACAGCTATTCGCAGAACTTGAAAACAGAAAACAAATACATCTAAGTACATTGGATCAGTTTGTCCCTTCCACACCTCCATCTGCAACCCCGTCTCCCATTAGATCATCTCCTTTTAAATTCTCATTTCTGGTATTAAAAATGAGAAAACCTTGTATATCTTTGTAGGTGTCTGAGAAATATTTTAATGAATTTATAAAACACATTGCTTTTCTTTTGATTTCAAAAAATGTGGTAGCAAACACTGACACACACTTACTCTGTGTGCCAGGCAGTATTCTGAGTGCTTTACAAATGTTAGTCCTCAATATAATTCTATTAGCTGTAATCCCAGCACTCGGGAGGCTGAGGCAGGAGGATCGTTGTAAGTTCGAGACTAGCCTGGGTTACAAAGTGAGCTCAAGGCCTGAACTGCATATCGAGACCCTGTCTCAAACAACACACACAAAATTCTATTAGGAAGATAATGTTATTAATTCTTGTATTACTGATGAGGAAACTGGAGCAAAGAGAAGTTAAGTAACCTACCCAGGTCACACAGCTAGGATACAAACCTAGACTGTCTGCCTCTAGGAATTCTGTTGTAACTGTTACACTATAGTTTGATAAGAAGTCTACTGAATATCACAAAACTAACATGCTGGCTGGGGATATAGCTCAGCAGCACAATACCTGCCTGGCAAGTGCAAAGTCTGAGTTTCATTTCCAGTACTAAAACAAATAAACAAACCTAACATACTTTTTGCAAGGGCTTGATAAAACTATGGTGATTTTATCCAAAAAAAAGAGCTTAGTTCTGACAGGTACATAATGTCATTTTGGGGCTGGGGAATGAAAGGCAGGAGGTAACAATAAAATTATCTTCTGAACAAAAGCAAAAATTTCTTGGCTTGGGATGTAACTCAGTGGCAGACTGCTTGCTTAGAGTGTGAGAGTCCCTGGGTTAAAACCTAGCATAACAACAAACAAAAAGAAAGAAAAAAATGGAAACAAAACAAACAAACAAAAACTCATGCACAATCCTAAGCTGACAGGAAAGCCAGGAAAGTGGAACCAGATAATTTTCCTTGTAAGTCAATTCTTCAAAATATAACCTACTTAGAGAAGCCGGGCATGGTGGTGCACACCTATATTCCCAGCACTCGGGAGCCTGAGGTAGGAGGATCATTGTGAGTTCGAGGCCAGCGTGGGTTACAAAGTGAGCTCAAGGCCAGCCTGAACTGCATAGTGAGATCCTGTCTCAAAAAAAAAAAAGACAAAAATAATAAAAAATAAACTATTATGGTATACTTAGAGTATGATTTATTATCATTAGATATGCCTATGTAAACTCAATCATGAAACAATATCCTAAAACCAAAACGCAGTGACTTTTGGGTTATCTGTGTACTACTCCCTCTCATTAGTGCAGATAAGTAAAAAGAAGATTTTTGTTTTTTAGACAAAGCACTGAAGTGTTGGTGTTACAGACTAAAGGCAAATCTAGTTTCACCATCATCTGTCAAAGTTTTTTATGTGGAAACATTTTACTCTACTTAAAAGTGAAGCTGAACATCGGTAATCTGAGTACAAAAACATACAACTTGTGATAGTGCTCTGGGAACAATTACTTAGATAATAAATAGCCAGAATCTTGGAGATTTAAGAGACACAGTCCCTGTCTAGCAACAATCATCGGCATCAATTCCTATCTCCAGGAAGCTGAGATCCAACCCCAAAGCCTATGTCCTTTGCTGTATGTCATTTCCATATAAACTGACAATATTTCAATCAAGTATTTTAAGCCAAGTTCAATATCTAACTTGACAGATGAGAAAAACTGAAATTAGAAAAAGGAATTTAAAAGTCAAATTTCACCCTCTAGCCACCTTCCCAATGCTTTCTCCTCGCTACCTCTTTAAAGGGTCCAAAAGTAATCTGACAGTATTTTTTGAGGACTCATGGATACTGTGTCACCCCGAGCCTACTCCTAAAGGCTGAATCATGTTGCCTCAATGCTGTGGTCACAGACCCTGAAATCTGCTGCAGCTGTGCCTGTCAGACCAACAGCTACTAGAGACAAAAGGTGGCTTAGGAGGATGCTGGGTCTGTGAGAAAACATCCAAGGTGCAGCTGTGGACTGCATACATAGTGAAAATGGATTCTTAGTATCTTAGTTCTTTTCTTGTTGCTGAGACAAAATATCTCACATTCAAAAATTAAAGGGGGAAAGGTTTATTTAGCTCACAGTTTGTAGAGGTTTCAGTCCATAATGGGCTGGTTCCAAGGCAGGGTTGCATATAGCAGAGTTCATGGCAGAGAGAAGACCACAAAGAAACAGGGGATCTTAATGGCATCTGTCTTTATACTACCCACACTAGTCAGAGTGGGTAGCAATCACACTCTTAAATCCTAGTGCCCTTGAGCATAACATCGCACCATGAATCAATTCCAGGGTTGCCCACTCTAGATCCAACCACCTCTGAAAAAGCCCTACCTATGATTAATCACAGGGGGCTTTGGAGGGACATCTAGACAAAAGCCAAAAAGCTTAGGTTCTGGCAGGAATGTCTATTCATCTGTGTAGCTCATTATGTAATTTTCTTTGTACAAGTGACTGAGTATCTTGTTGCTTCACTAACCACAAGCCTCAAACATTCTGGATTGGAGAGCTTGAAACTGGAAGACAGAATGGAGCAGTGTGAGGGGAAAAACAGTACCAGCATTAGGGTTGTCAATGCAAGAAAGAGACCCAGACAAAGCCTGTGGTGATGCAGACTTTCTCCCATATTATACACCTGAATCCATAAAATAGACCAAGATATGTATCAACACTCCTGTAAAGAATGAGAGTGGCATACTGCCACAGGTAACACTGCTTTGTTATCTCAGTAGTTCTCTATCATTTATGACAACAGGGCAACCAAAGTAGATAAGCAGATATGGAGCGTGCAGGTGTAGATAAGAAAACAATGATCAGAACTGGAGTGCGGTGGTTCCTAACCTGCAGTCACCAAAAAGAACTTAAGGACCCTGTGAACACAGATGGGAAAAAATATTCCATCTTTATTTGTATTGACCCTTTCCAAAATACAGCATCTCCTTTCATTGTGAAAGCACAGTATTACCTATTCCTGGGGTTTAACCCTAAAATACTATTTAGGTTCATTACTACCCAGCAATTAAAGTAGTTGTTAGGCCTGCCATTATATCTTATTATTAATGTGTTAATAAAGAAGTATAATGTTACTGTGAAACGAAACAAATTTGTCTTAAAACATGTTGCTAATTACTTTGATATAATTGTTTCCTTTTGTCATCTCATGTATTGTACTTTATGAACTGAAACATTAATTCTGAGAAAAAGACCTATGGGCTTCAAAAGAACATCAAAGAGACCAATAGCGCAAAAAAGATTGAATCCTCAGTCTCAGGCAAGAGGTAGACACTATTACCTGCCTAATAGGCCTAGAGTGTTCCAGTCTATAAGTAGATATTACTACGGGTTTTGTGGTGTGTTTGAAATGTAAAAAAAAAAAACCTTCACAATTGAAATTTCTGCATAGAATTGTTAATCTGCTGCGAAATTGGAACTCGTAAGCCTCCTGCTTCTTTAAAACTGCTGATCAGCAGGCTGACCACCTGGAGGGTTCATCAGGTATATGTATTCGAGACAGACCTCTTCTGCTAAGGGAGGTGACTTGTGTGCATCTGAAAAGTGACTTTTATAGCCAGTGGAGCCAACACTGAGCATGACAGACAGCTCCTCTTCTCCACAAAGTCCCTCACAAAGCTCAGACCTGCTTTTCACACTTACTTCTACCAAATCTAGCTCGGATGTGAGGGTGTAAATGCAGAGGTAAATAATTGTGACAATACAGCTTGTGGGGACAAAGTCTTCCTAGTGCTCACTGTTTTCTGCTTTGATTTCCATCTGAGGAACAAAGTGGTCACACACTCATATTCCTGCTCAGGAAATGAGTCCAGCCAAGGTCTTCCCCATTTAGAAAACAGGAGGCAGCAGTTACGACAACAAAGTACTCTGGGAAGATGTTACTCTCAGAAAACCCAGCAGCACATCTGTCCATCCCCAGCAATGACATTACCCTCCAATGGTCTCTCTACTCGATTTCTGCCAAAGCTGTAAGCTGTAGGGTCTGAGGAGCCGTAAGTATCCCAGCCCCAGAGCCCTCAGGCCAGTGAGTTCTCCACTGAGGCTTGTTGAACAGTGAGTCACAATTTTTCACATTTGTTTTGCAACTAATTTTTGTGCTTTCTAATATGTGTTTTTTATATTCTTAACTACTTTTGTAGTTGGAGGGAAGGGTTAAAAAAAAAAAAAGGCAGACTAACAGACGATAAAAGACTTCTTGTACAGAGCCAGGGCTGCATCTTCCTCAGGTATATATGCCATAAAAAGCTATAGAAGGCTCAGTCCTTCAGAGCCCCTCCTGAGGAGATGGTGCACCTGGGGACCCAGTCCAAGGCAGGCCTAGAAGATGTAAGTTAGACCACAGGTTTGGGCAAAGTCAGATCCAGAAACTCAGGAAACACCAACAAGATAAAGAACCAGGCACAATGATATGTACCTATGACATAATCCCAGCACTCTGAGAGGTAGAGGCAGGAGGATCCCAAGTTTGAGCCCACCTTACTGAGACCTTTGTCTCAAAATAAAAATAAAAACGACTAACTAGGGATGTAGCTCAGTATGAAGGCCCTGTGTTCAATCTCAAGCACCACAAAATAAATACATACATACATACAGTTAAGGCAGCAGGTGTTGGCAGATCTGCCCAAAACACCCCTGGAGCACTAGGCAGGACATCAGTCTGACAAGGCCCGCTGTTTCTATCTCCAGGAGACATAACTGCCTTCTATAACGTGTGCATGGCAACGTGGATCCGAGTTCAGATAAATGCAGAAGCCATGTAAAACTATACACACACAGCCCAAACAGATGTAGCCCTCCCCAAACTCTCACCACTGCCTTTCAGCCCAAGGGGGTCTCCGGGATGAGCAGATTACAATCATAATTCTGAAAGAAATTAATCTTGTCAGAACACTTGGAGCCCCCTCGCCTAGATCTTTACACCATCACTGGTCACAGATAAGACTGCACCTGTAAGACTCCGATCCCAGAAGCTCACCTGTGGGCTGGATCACCACCGTAGCAACTTCCACGGCCTTTTCTTGAATCTCTTGCCAGTAACCCTGCTCTGCGATCCACTCACTGACCACACACCGGTAGGAGCCCTGGTCGGCGGACAGTGCGTGGGCCACAGAGAGGCGGTAGGCATCGCTGCCCGCCGTGTCCAGGCGCACGTCTCCGCTGTGGTAGCGCTGCTCGTAGCCGGGGCCTGGGCGGAACCTGCCCTCGTGGTTAAGGGTGATGACGGCCCTGCGAGAGGGCCCGCGGTGCAGCTCCCACAGGAGCGCCAGGTGTGTGTGCAGCGGCGAGTTGCTGGAGGCAGCGCAGCGCACCTCGAAGGGCTCTCCCTCGCGCAGGGTCAGGCTGGGGGGCGGCCGGGCGCTGGGGCCCACGTGCAGGGCATCGGCCAGCACTGTGGGGGACAGAGAGCACAGTCAGTCTGCAGCCTCCCTCAGAGGACCCCATGTGACCAGGGCAGGCCACTTGCCAGACCCGGGCCCACAACTATGTCCTAAAACAATTCTCTCCCTCCGTTGCCTGTAGGCATATCTTCCCATTTTGACTCATCTATAATCTCAAATGGTTTTTCCAACTTGAAAAGGAAAGAATAAATGAATGAAAGAACTAAAAGAGAAGACAGGAGGAGGAGGCGGAAGAGGTGTGGAAGAGGAGGGAGAGAAGGAGGAGGAAAGGCATTAAGAAAACTCCCTGCTAAAATAAGGTGTAGGGAATGATGAAAACTCCCCGCAGGAATTGAGCTTTGAGGATGTGTCTTGTCACCCTAGGGCAAGTTACTTCACCTCTCTATGCCTCAGTTCCCCAAAAAGGGGACAACAACTGACCTTCCTCATGGAGTCAATGTGTAAGAGTTCAACAAGTTTAGGCACACTATGGGAAAATGACTGTCAAACGTGCGTCTGGTCGGGACACAGGGTTAGCACAGAGCCTCCAGCCTGCAGCTGAGGCAGCCTTCTAAGAGTTCAAAGCATGCCATTTTACAGGGCTGGAGGATGGCATGAGCTGCCTGTGACTCCTGACCTGGGCACTGCCTGAGAGCAAGCAGCGTGAGGGGAGGGCATCCGTGAGGTGGGACCTGGCCACCAGAAGGTGATAGCTTAGCTATGGACTCTGCTGGTGCTACTGGAAGAAGCATTTTCACAGAGTCTAGAAAAGGGCACTAGAGATCAAGGAAATGTCGGCAAGTGCTATTTAGGAAGAGCCATGATAAGCAATAGGTTCTGGTAGCCTTGTAACCAGACAGGGAGGGGCCTCTACCAATGGGCAGGGAATGAACCCTCAGGTTTATCTATGAGCTGGGAATAAAAAGGATTCTCCAGCAGAACTATTCATCATCTCCGGAGTTTTTGCAGTTCCTCATTTAGAAACTAATTCAGTGTCCTTGAGAAGGGATTATCTTCAAACTCCTACACTCCAAAGATTCATCCTTTGTGATTCATTGGAATGAATGTGACAACTTGATTCCATTCGTAGGTCTGGCTATCATGACTTGGTTTCTCAAGGTCAGTTCATCTCTGAAGGCACTGAAGAATAGTTTCAAGGCCCATGAAGCTGAGACTAGACAAACCCTGGACCAACAATAGCATCTGCCAGAGGTCACCCTAGGTGACCAGCCAGCCCAGCTCTGTCATGTCATCTACCTGCTTTCTTGAGCTAAGGAAACCCCTTTCTCCTCCAGCCTCCCTTTCAGCCTTTGAGATGAGAATTACACAGACAGTGCATCTGACCATTAACGGCGTGTGCTATTTTGCATAATTTAACCATAGGAAAAATAACTGTTTGGATTTTTTTTAAAAAAACACCAAGATTTCTTGTAGGAGTATGAAAGACGTAAATGTAATGCATTAATGCTTTAATACCTACCTGGTGGAAAGATGTTTTATCCCTTATGAATCGCTAGTGAGGGACAGTATCTGAGATAAGGTAGGTTCTACCAAACATTGCAGCAGCAATGAATGTCTGGATCAACACTCTTTTTATAGCTTTCTGTGTATTTTCTACTTTCCTAATAATTACATTCCTACCCAGATATAAATCATTTTGGGAACAAGGCAGAGCACAAATAAATGGATAATTTAGTAAGGACAATAATAATAACAATAATAATGTTTCTATTTTGTTAGCTTCAAATTGGTTCATTCTTGCTCAATTACTAATTAGCTGTGTGATTCTGAGCAAGTAATTAACCTATGCTCTTCCATTTCCACATGTGTAAATTAGGGAAATAGTCTGCCTTATCTTTTTTACTGGGTTCACAGTCATATGTGTTAGTCTAAAAGGACAATGGGGAAAACAATACTCTCCGAGACGGAGGCAGGAATCTTAAGTTCAAACCAAGTCTAAAGAACTCAGGGACAACCTGTTTTAAAACACAAAAACTTAAAAAGGCTGGAGATGCAGCTCAGCACAAGGGCCTTGAACTCAAGCCCCAGTAACACACACACACACACACACACACACACACACACACACACACACACACGACAACAAAAAGTCTAAGACATTTCAGATATGTAAGATGTGATTATTTACATAACCTGGTCAATAAACTAGCAGGGGCCATGCCATTCTTTCCCTACATAGAACACGTTACTTCTGGTACAAACAGGTACGTGAATCATGAAGGTCACAAAGACAGATGAACTTTATAGTACCTGCCATTCCCATAAACCTGATCATCATGATAATGAACATCACCTTCCGGCCATAGCCCACTGAAAGCTTGGTATAGCACTGTGCTAAGTCTCAGCTCATGGTAACTCACCCAGCCTTTTACCCTTTAAAGTAGGTACTCTGGAAGAGGAGGAAGACAAGCATGTACCATGCTCATGGCCAAATAGCTGACAAGCGGCAGAGATAGTAAATGGACTAGGCACAGAAAGCTTGGCTCCAGAGTGAAGTTCTCTACCACTACTCTGTACTGCTTCTAACTTCCTGGTCACAGAATGCTTCAGAAGCATAATGGAGAGAAGAGAAAAGGCACACAGAAGAGACTGGGCCACTCTTTTAATCAGGTAAGATACTATTATTCCGCTAGACAAGGGGGTTACGATTCCTGACAAAGAGACACATAACTGAATGGCAGAGTAAGGTCTGGCCAAGCACAGTGACTTCATATGAGGACAGTACCTTTAACCTGCACCGTATCTTCATAGTTGCCCTGGACAGTGGCATCTGTGCTGGGGGTTGAACACTTATAATGGCCCTGGTCTGAGGGTTGCACATTCTTTATGTGCAACTCCACAGCATCGTTGGCAGTTCGCCTTAACAGGATCTCGCCTCTCTGTAGCCGCTCCTGGTACAGCTGAGTTGGGAAGCTCGCCTCCCAGGTACTTGCAAGCTCCACGAAGCTGCTCCCTGAAGATGAGAAGCTCCAGTCGAAGTTTTGTTCACTGGGGCCATCGTAGTCGCTGACATTGCAGGGGATGACCAGCTCGGTACCTACCACTCGGACAAGAGTTCCTGCAGGGACTCTTACCACACGTCCCCGACAAAGAGCTGCAACGACAGGAGATAAAAGGCCGGTCTTTAATCACAAAGGATGCTCCCAGTATAACTCTGGCAATTCCAGGGGTGCTCATGGTCATGGGCCAGGGCAAAAATATGACTTCCAGAATGCTGGAGAAAATGTGCCTCTGCAGAAACAGGCTAAGAAATCCCTAGAATAATAAGCATGGAATATTATCCTGGCACAAACACCTCTCATACAACCAGTTCCCTGAGAGTGACAGGGAGGAAGATCAAGTTTTAAAAGTAGGCTAACTACAACCCTGAATAGCTCTGACCATTTCATTACTACTTAACAGACCACTATCCCTCAGTGTGATGTAGAAATATTTTAGGTTCTGTGTGAAAAAAAAGAAAAAGGACATAGCTAATGAAGTATTTACATTTTTGCCCACTCTATATCAACCCTCATCCCTAGAGACCATTCCTTGGGGCTCCTGAGACCTGATTTACAATGATGGATGCAAATTTTTAAATACTAGAGTGGCCTGCTGATAAAATGATTTAACTCCTGTTATCTTGACATTGCCTATAAATTAATTTTAAAATATGATGATTCTACCAAGTATTAATTTTCTATTTTCTGGCTCATTTCCTTCTCTCTACTCTTCACCCTGATCTAAATTCAGAATGAGGATGGAAAGTGCAAAGGGAGGGAGACTGGCTGGTTGCTGGCATTGCTGAGAATGGTGTGCTGCTGGGATAGAGCCAGGGCAAAGCTGAGTTACATGGTGTTCCCTTCCTGGCGTAGGTAATGCGTGCAGACCTGGCACCTGCAGGTCCTTTCAGAAGGTTGCCTTACCATGGACTTCAGCCCAGTTTTATAGGACATTTACTACCTGTGTTGAACATTGCAATGCAGGCTAAGTAACCATGTGTGGTTCCTTGATATTCTGTGACAGGCATCACAATATGGCACCCAGGGGGAAAGCATGGCTCTGAAATCAAAGAGAACAGGTCTGCAACTCTTTTAGCTCTGGCTTCCTGTTACAAAACAGGGCAAGATGGTGTCATTAAGGTCATGAAACAAAATGCTCAGCTGACTTTGCCACATAATAAGGGCTCAATAAATTGAGAGCTTCAATTATTTACCATCCATGTTGTGTTTTATTGTTAGTTATGGGTTGAATTGTATCTCCCACCCAAAATTTGTGTGTTGAAGTCCTAGCTTCTAACACCACAGAATGTGATCTTATCTGGGAATAGGGTCATTGTAGGTATGATTAGTGACATTGTGATGAGGTCACTCTGGAGGAGGGTGGGCTCCAACCCAGTTGACTGGTACACCCTTAAAAAGGGATAAATCTAGACACAAACACACACCCTGAAAGAATACCATGTGACAACAAAAGCAGAGATCAGGGCGATACATCCACAAGCCATGCAATAGCAACAATTGCTAGCAAGGCACTAGATGCCAGGAAGAGACACGTGCCAGACTCTCCGTCATGGGCCTTGGAAGGAACCCACTCTGCCAATTTCTTGATCTTGGACTGTAACTTTCCTAGCTGTGAGAGGAATTCTGTGACTTAAGCCACAAGGTTCATGTACTTTATTGTGGCAGTTCTAGCGAAGATTACACCACTGCTGCTTTTCACAAGTCTGAACCCATTAGTGAGTTGTGAAATGAGCTTCTAGTGGCTATGCTTTTTTTAAATGGAATTTTAAATGAACACAAATGATTAGAGTATAGTACATTTAGTAAGGAGTAAATATTGTTTTATTACACAGTATTTTGTTAAGTAAACAAAGTCATATGGATACTACATTATGATGAAAACACAGTATCTAAATTTGGGCCAACGTTAAAAAGAAAAATTGATGAAACTTTTTTAAAGCTATCTCTTGTTTTCCCCATCCATCACAATTTCCTTTGACAAGGGAAAAAGGAAGTAATTATATAAGATAAATAGTGACGTGGGACAGCACGGATTCTGAGTAGGGTGCAACTGTTTTCCCCTCAGCTGTGGTGGGTTCAGACTGAACTGTTCTAAGAGAAGCTGCTAAACTCCAAATTACATCACTCTCCTTAAAAGATGTGGCACAGCTAGAGATGTAACTCAGTGGTACAATGTTTGTCCAGCATGTACAAGGCCCTAGGTTCTATCTCCATCACTGCAAAAAATTAATTATATTAAGTATTATTGTGCATGGTGTTGCAAGCCTATAGTGCCAGCTACTCAGAAAGCTTAGTCAGGAAGATCACTTGAGCCCAGGAATTCAAAGTCAGCCTGAGCAAAATGGTGAGACGCTATCTCTTTAAAAAAAAAAAAAATTACAGTTGGTAACTCAGAATGGGTAACACATCCTCTGGCAAAGAATGGAAGAACCAACCCAAAATACTGTTGAGGAGTAATATGGAACATGCTACTTTCTAGGTACCCAGGGAGAAAAGCTCTGGTGTTAAGCAGAACCAGTCATAATGGTCATGCCTTACTTGAGTTTGATCTCATCATAGCAAACAACTCAGTAACTTCAGGGTGCCACCATGACTCCCCACTTCATCACAGAAGACCCAAAACAAGGGTCCACGATTCCTTAACTGTCCTCAGAGGGGCTCACTCTGCACCTCTAGTCCTGGGGGATAGGCTCTGGGGATAAGACCAGGTGAGTCACAATTCTGTTTGCTCAGAAGCTGCACATGGGCAGCACTACTGACCACGTGAAGAAGCCATCTGAAGAGACCCAGATCAACATGGGACCACAGAGGCGAAGGGAACACACTCCAGTGACCTGAGAGCAGCAGCCAAGATGCTAGATCCTACCATGCCTTCTAGGCCATCTCCCCTGCACTCAAGCCTACACGTCTTCCTTTCTCTGGACGTCTCAGCTCCTTGTAATTCTACTCACCTTTACTTATGTTTCATAAACTGATTTCTGTTGTGGCAACTCAAAGATCATTGAAATACATATTTCCACCCTGCAGTGGCCAACTCATCACCACAGCTCACAAAGAAAATGAGTGCTTGTGTTTTTACATTCAATTTTAAAGATCATAAGAAAATCAGAATCTCTTAATGAGTCCTTTCAAAAGAAAGCATGGCATGCTGCCCTCAGAAGCATCTCAGCATTGTACCCAGGTTTCCTCATCTATAAAATGGAGATCATGTTTGTGAATTGTGGGAAGGGTTAAATCAGTCAATACATTTGCAACATGGTGAAAGGACCCAGTGTGTGGTAAGAATTTATGATCATCTGCTAAGTGGCCACCTCTAGCATAAACTTTGCACTAATCTTTCACCTTGTTTCCCCGGCGAGGCTTATAGGGGAATTTCCAAATGTGTAACCTTTTGTATTTTTATCAGTTACAGTTGGCTCGCAGGGCATTCAGGGATGAGCCTGTTTCTCTTGTGAGATTTCTATCGTGTTCCTGGTGATTGGAACTCTGGAAACAAATTCAGCTCCTTGTCTCAATTCTCTACCCTTCTACATGGTTGCCCAAATCATCTTTTTTAACATAGCAATTCTATGTCACTCTGCTGTTCAAATTAACTTCAACGACTGCTTATCACCTACAGGACAAAACTCACCCAAATCCTCACCCCTCTCACTTGCATTACTGCAGCAGTCCCTGTCTGCTGGCTCTCTACTCAAAGCAAAGTGATCTTAAAAACTTACTCATATTTTACTTTGCCCTAAATGCTCCAATCATTCCCCAATTTTATACAGACAAATGCTAAAATCTTTACAAGGCTGTTATGATTTGTGTTTTGATGTCCCCCAAAGCCTCATGAGGTCATGGGGAGAGGCAGGCCTTTCAAAGGCCCACTGAGTCTAATGTCTATGATTGATTCATTGTCTAGCACTAGAACTGGTGGTGTAAATGTTGCAAATGCTCTGGGGTGAGGAACCCACATACAATATAAGGGAAAGAAGGAAGGAGGGAAGGAGGCATGCTCTTTCCTTTTTGCTTATAATGCAGTCACCATGAATGGTTAACCTCAGTCATGCCAACATTCCTTGGGGCCATCTGATTACTGACTGAAACCTCTACAAATTGTGAGCTTTCCTTGTTGGGTATTTTGTCCCAGCATGAGGAAAAAGTATCCAAGACAAAATTTGGGGTGGAGTGGGGTCATTGCTATGACTATACCTGACTCTCTGGTTCAACAGCCTTTCTAAATGGCTTGTGGGGAAGAGTTTGGAAAGGTTGGGAGATGTCACCTGAAAGGGTAAAGCTGGAACGCCTTAGGCTGTTCTGTATGAGAGATTCTGTTCAGAGCTCAGAAGACCACAAGGCTGATGGAAATTCTACTGGTAAAGACCAGGCTCAGGAAATTTCTGCTGGAAATGACTATACTGGCTATTGGACTCCAAATGATGTGTATTATGGTTTGGCAGAAAGTTTGTCTGCATTTTGCTCATGTCCAGACATTTTGCCTGAGACTGAGATTAAGGGCAGTGGACAAATTAATCTGGCAAAAGAAATTTCACAGCAGTCAAATGTTGAGGCAGTGGCATGGCTATTGTTGGGGGCTTTTAGCCAGATTTATGTTGCAAAATCAAGAGCAAAGAGCCAGCAGGATGATTTAAGGCACTGTGAGGATGGCTAGAAAGAAAGTTCCAGTAAAGCTGTGACTGCAAAGACAGAGCTCAGAATAATCTTGATTTTTAAAAAAGAACAGGAAAATACAAAAGATGAACTGAAGGCATCACAAAAACAAAACAAAAAAACCATGTCTTGAACCTTTGCTGCCTCACAACTACACAAGTAAAAAACTTTGCTTTGAGAAGGAAGCTACAGAGCACCATGTTCCAGAATGACAGGAGAGGCCACATGAGGTTTCAAAATGGCGGCAGCCATCCATACCAGGTTCCAGAATGGCAACAGCATAGAACATTTGTTCCTCAGAATTAGATTCAGAGTGCCCAGCAATCCAGGCACTTGACCCCTACAGCCAAGAGAGATGAAAGCCTGGTTATTGTTGCAGCTGCCGCAGGCCTCAGCATTATCCAATGGTGCTGGTTTTAGGTGCATACAGAATGCAGGA